TAAAGGCCTAATGTCTCACGCTATATAATGAATGAAATTTTACCTATAAAACTGTTCAGTTGAAAAATGATACTATATGGGTCCATTTGTACAAAATAATAACAAAAACCATCACTATATGTATCTATTTATAGAAGAAATTACTAGTAATATCTAAATTATTGAATGCTAAAACTATTACTTACCAATCTACTCAGAAAAGGACATCATATCTTCCATGCGAAATCAAAGTCCAAGTCCAAGTCCAAGTTCACATTTTAGTTGCAAAATCAAAAATTGTTGGAGTAGTTGACTAGTCTATATTTTTGTAAGCTTTCTACAACCATAAATTGTAGTCCAATAAAAAAAGGAAGAGTGAAAGACTAAGCAAAGCAAGTCAAAGCTTTAGAAGCAAAAGACTCATTCAAAGGCAAAAGAGGATTAAGAGGTCTTCAAATTTAGGGTATAGGGTTCTTAAAAGCAAACAGAACATGCGTGCTTCAATTCCTTTGCCTTGTAAAAGAAACCAATTTTCTGACTCTTTTTAAATAGGTCTCTCTGTAAAAGATAAATTTAAAAGGTAAAGCAAAGCGTTTTCATAGACCTTACGTTTTCTCTCTTTTTTATCAACTTTTTTTATCTTTCGTTTTCTTTTTATCCTTCTTTTTTTCTCTGCCTTTTTGGAAGTTTCTCATCATCATCCATGTATTCTCAACATCTCAAAGTAGCATCTCTATGAAACCTGTGTGGTTTTTCTATTGTCCAATTTTTTCTCCTAGTAAGAATGTTAAAACAAATACTCCATTACTCCATGTTGTTTCAAATGATTCTTTTATAATTACAACTTACATGCTTATCAAAAAAAAGTTATACTTACAAATTGTTTTCCTATATTAATAGAGCACTTGAATAGTACAAAAGATTTTGTTTTGACTTAACTAGTACAAAAGATTTAACCATTACACAATAAACAGATGTTTTAAAACGTAAACCGACCGGCAAGTCGAATAAAAAATCAGAGGAGTATTGGTTGGATCTAATTGTTTGATTAAATAAGATGTTGAACAAATAAAAATCGTTCAAAATAAATAAAAATCGATGAATCAGCGATTTTGAAAAATGAGTGAGTTAAATACTTGATTTTTTCTTTAACAAAATTTTATATAAAATAAGTCGTTTTGATAATTAAAAAAATTAAAATATGATTAATTTTTAAAAAATAATATTTAAAATAATATTTTCTCTCTAAAGTTAAATTTATTAAATATTTCACTTATTTGTTATTTAGTTATTATTTAAATAGATATAAAGAATATGTTTGAAGTTAATTGATAACTTATAATTTATAATTGATGATTGATGATTATAGTTTATAATTGATGTTTGATGATTGATAAATTATAATTAATAAGTTAATTAAAGTGTTTAATAAAATTAACCGTTCAATTAACTGATAAATTACAATAAAATATTTAATATATAAGTGTTTTATTTTATATTAAAATAAAATATAAAAGGTAATAGTAAGTTTTAGATAAAATAATAAAGGTAAAAATAGAAGAAAAAAAAAAAACTATAAATTATAAGCTAAAATATTATTTGAAATAACGTCTAAAAAATAAACTAAAGTATAAATTAGTAAAATAAGACATAAACTCGTTATAAAACGTATATTATCAAACAAGTTTTTTTTATTGTTATACGAGTTTATAAATTATAAATTTAAAAATTATTTTACAAAACAAAATATTTTATATTATTTTGTTGTGAAATTATAATATTTTAAAAATTTTAAATGATATAATTTTTTTTAGAGATTAAGTCATTTGTTTCATTCATTTTAATAATTATATAATTTTATTATATAAATTAATTAATTAAACTAAATTATTCAATATATTCATACAAATTCAATCGATAACTCAGTACTTTAATAAATAAAACAATAACTCAATACCTCGTTGATTTGATCACTGGTCTAAAAAACATTGATTTAAGCTAAACACAATAATATAAAATTATAATCAGTTAACTAATTCATATCCTATAAATGTGTAGATTTAACTTTCTCTAAACTTTTGTGGTTTGTCTAATATTTTTGTACAAATAATACTATTTTATCCTGTTATAGTCTCCATCCGTAAAAACTTACAAACAAACTATTAGAAGTGTATTTAAACAAAAGTCTTCTTTAATCGAGTGCGATAGTTCAAAATTTATTATAATTAAATTTTGATTAAATAAGATTTTATAAAACAATGTCATAATTAAATCATTATCATATAAAATTTTTAATTAATTTTTTATTATGATAAAGTTATATTTATTTTTACTTTTTAAAATTATTAATTTATAAATATCAATTATATTTATATTTAAAAAAATACAAATAAATGACGTACTCAGGAGTTAAACTCAATACTTACACTCTTTAATTCAATTAGTAATTATCAGCTAATCTACTTTACTCACTCAAAGTTATAATAATATCTAATTTATACAGGATCTTCAAAAATTTAAGACGATTTCAATAAAAAAACTCAGAATTGTTACTAGTATTTTTTGATTTCTTAATTCAATAATCAAAATTTTATTCTTTGAAAATAAATAAATAAAATTTTAAAACTTTTAAACTACTTTTTAAAGGGATAATCAATTTCATTTAATATAAACAATTCAGATGTCCTATTAAACCCTCAATGAACAGCCAAACTTTTGAATTGGTCAATTGTAGTTTGCTAATTGTGATCTGTACCCTAGCTAAAATAACCTTATATTCCAAAATTAATACAGTAAACGTAAAAAAACATTAATGTGACTAAGCAAAAACAGAAATAGAAGCAGAAGTGGGGCAAACAAATCTATGTTTTCAAATTTAGCTATTAAAAAACTCTAAAAAAACTGAAACGTTTCCTTCATAACTCTGTAGAGTCTGTATACATCCAAAGACTGAGCTCACAATTACTGTACACTACACAGTACTCCTATCTCACTTTTCCTCTATACCCTACTACCCCACTCTTCTCTTTGAGGTCCAAATGACCAATTTGAACAAAATAATAAATAAATAAAAAACACACCAAAATAAATACAAAAAGCAAAAGTTAAATTAAATCCTTAGGGATGGCAACGGGGCGGGTCGGATGCGGGTTTAAGCACATCCATATCCGCACCCGCCATCCAGACTTAGACCTATCCCCGTCCCCAAACTCTGTTGAGATTAATATTTATTCTCTCACTTTTACCGCATCCGTCCGAATAAAATATTAATTTTTAAAATTTTATATTTATTTTCAATAAAAATAAAAATTAATAATTAAACTAAATAGTTAATTATTTTAAAAGTATTTTTATGTTTGATATTTTTATTTAAATTATATTTAAAAATTTTTTTTTTAATAAACATGATATTATAACATTAGAAAAATGTAAATGAGTAATAAAACTATTAACAAATAAATGAACTAAATTAAATTTAGTTGACGGATGCAGGTGCTGGGTGAGTACTAACATCACCCGTCGTCGCACCCGCATCTGCAAATAAAAATCGGGTTTTCCTCGCACCCGCGTCCACCCCTGTTTAAATCAGGTTTTTCTCGCTAATTTCAAAGCGGGGGCAGCCGGGGCCCGACGGAGGCGGATTTATTTGCTATGCCTATAAACCCTCTTATTCTCTTTACATTAGTACGGATGATTTTCACCACTAAAAATTTAAGAATATCATTTGAATGTATACTTTCCAACGTATTTTGTAAGTTTAGAATATTGGATGATTCAAATATGCATATTAGAAAATTTCTATTTTTTCATTTTCAAGGAGATGTTAGATATAGATATTCGAAATAATTTAATATTTTAAATTTTTTATAATTTTTTTTGAAAAGATATTTATTTATAATAAAATTATAATATAATTAAATAAAATTATTATTAATAAAGAATAATTTAAAATTTATAATTGAAAATTAAATATTAAAGTAAATTTATTATATAAAATTAAGTAATAAATATAATGATTAAATTTTTAATTATAATAATAAAATGTAATTACTTTCAATTTTTTATTTAAAATTATGAATAATTATTTATAAAAAATATAAAAAATATTTTTTAATTATAACTTTAAAATTTGAATTTAATTTAGATGAAATTTTTTAATTATTATTATAAAATTGGTAATTAATTATAAAATTTAATTAGAAATTTTATTATATTAAATAAATATTTTTATGTAAATAAATAATATTTTTTTATTTTTAACATACTAAAAATATATAAAACTTATGTAAATAATTGATAAGGTAATATAATTAATATAACTGATAAAATTTGATTTCAATTGTTGAAATTGATATATCTTAATTCTAATTATTGGAATAAAATTCTTAAAAATAAAATATTGAGTTATTTCATAAATGTATATCCGCAAACATTTTTAAAAACTTGAAAATTGAGTTATTTTGAATATGTATAATTGAAAATCTTTAAAAATAAAATAATAAATTATTTCAAATATATATATATATATATATATATATATATATATATATATATATATATATATATATATATATATATATATATATATATATATATATATATATATATATATATATATATACTCTTAAAAAATTAAAATTTAATTCATTCTGAAATACACTTCTAAATTTTAAAAATACTTTAGACATTTCGTTTGAAATCCTAAAAAATACACTAAATATGAAAAGAAAATCTCAATTTTCAATCCAAAATCCATTAAACAAAGTGAAAAGTTAAACTAAAATATACACGACTATGATTTGATCTCTACGATTACAATGCAATAGTAAATGAATTAAAATCACTTGAGATTGTAATTTGACTCTCGAACTAGACTAATAAAAAAATACACACTCTCTCTTACTAACTATACTCCTCTCATTTTGTTCATTCACCTAACTCTTTATAAAACTAAAACTCAACAACCAAATTCACTAACTCTCTCTACTCTCTCTCTTCACTTTCTCTCTCTAAACTTTTCCATGGACGCTCTTAACATCTTCAAGTTCTGGAGAAACAACCCTTCAACAACAACAACAACCTCAAACATCACTCTTCCTCATCTTGTTGTCGAAACCGACACTGAATCAGACGAAGACGACTCCTTCTTCGATTTAGAACTCTCCATAAACGATGACCCACCACTCAAAACAACAAACATTACTACCTACGAAACTGTAGTTAATGTTCCACATAAAACAACTCTTCCTCTTCCTCTGTCCCCAAACGAACACATTTCGAAAAGAAAAGTGCTTCCAATTGAACCTCCTACGAAACCTCAATCACCCATTTCGCTTCTCAAATCAGCACCGAGTTTCAGAATCTTTACATTCCGAAAACCAAGAAGAATACCTTCTGAAAAAACAGAATGTGAACAGACTCAGACGAAGAAGAAAGAAACCAAGGTCTTCGCGGTGAAAGTTAACATGGAGGATTTTCATTCTACTCCATCTCTTAGCAGAGACAACAGCACGAGAAGCTTTGCAAGCAAAGCTCGGAGTCAGGGAACAGAGGAACCTAAAACTGAACGCGTTTCGAAAGAGATTTTGCAGAAGTATTTGAAGTTGATTAAGCCTTTGTATGTTAAGGTTTCGAAGAGGTACAGTGAAAAGGTGAAATTTCCCGCCGATCGGATGACTTTGACGGCTTCGCCGTCTTCGTCACCGGTGGCTCAGAAACAAGGGACTTTTCCGGCGCGGATGAGGGTGGTTTCTAAGCATTTCGGTAAGAGTAGGTCGTCGGGTACGGTCGTCGGAGTTAGTTCTCCGGCGAAGAGGAGTGATGATACGCTGCTGCAACAACATGATGGAATACAAAGTGCTATTCTTCACTGCAAGAAATCGTTTAACTCCAGAGGTACTTTTAAAAAATATAACTTTTTTTTTTCAGATTTTAATTATTATGATTATAATTAAGATTTTGAAAATGATTTGAATTATATATTTTTCAGATTGTTCAATGGGTGTTTCTGAGGATAAATCAATGTGTTCAACGAGAAGTTCTTTTGAAGATGAAGAAGTGTGAGAAAAATGAAAGAAACTAGTAGTTGATAGAAGAGAAATGAAAATGGTTTGATTTTGTAAAGGAAATGAAATTAGAATAGGAGTGATGATTAGCATGATGTGTACATTGATGGGCCATAATGAAAAGAATCTAATATTTCTCTGAATTTGGATCTTGTGTTGTGTTTGTGTGAGTTTTGCAGTTTGCACTCTGCTTGAGGTGGTTGTGTTATCTCAATTAGTATATAGTATGTTGTCAAAAAAAAACAGGTAGTATATAGTATTTTGGTTGGATCTTATCAAAAGATTCAAAGCATCAACATATCTATAGTCTATAGAACATTACATTGATAAGACTTGTAGTAGTACCTCAAACATGATTAATACTTCCTCCATTTTAAAATGAGAGTGGTCTATTCATATATGTAATTATATTATCACGAGACATTGTATTTTTATTAAATTAGTTTTATTAATTTATTGGAAGTATTATTAATTTATTGAAGTAATGTATAGAATAATAATCATAATATACAATAAAAATATAACTATCATTACTACATTAGAATGTGAGAATGATATTCATTTTGAAATAATTTTTTTTATAAAACAACATTTATTTTGAAATTGAGTGAGGATCTTCTTTCTTTTTGAAATAGATATAGTAGACAAAAGGGTAAAGGAGAAAAGGATGTCCATGTCTTTTTAGGACAAATATTAATGTCTTTTAAGAAATTTAATAGATTAGTCTTTTAAGTTTTTCTTTCCATAAATATGTGTTTTATTTGTAAAATATATTTGTTTTTAATAATAATATTTGTTTTTTTTAAATAAATCTATTAATTAAAAACAAATAGGATAAAGCATGTACATCAGTACATGTTATGTTATATTTATAAAGGATCGGACGAAGTCTGGAGTTTTGTTGTCCCCGAAAGGGTGATGATTATATGTCGTCTTCCAAAAGATATTGCCTCACTCCAAGTATCTTTCTTTCGCTTAGATATGGGAAAATGTTGAAAAGATGTTTTTTGGGTAGAGAGAAATCATAGTCAATAGTTGATCCACGTCTTCTTAAAAAATAGAGATTTGACAATCCATCAATGATCCAGTGGGTGATGCGATGACTTTCTCAAAGAAACCCCAAGTTCAAAAGTTTTTATAAATACTTCTTTTCTAACAGGATAAGAGATCAGATCTTAACTCATACATTTATACCTAAACACAAAATTGAGATACATAGCCTCTCACTTCACTTGAGAAAGTCCTCTAAAACTATCATAAAACCACTATACAAGGCTTCTCGTCGATGTGTGTAAGCCATAACCACAACAAATTATTATAAACCTACTAAGACCACTAAGTTCCACTGTCTTTATAGGAGTAACATGCACATATGTACTTTTTGACCAGTACACCGACACCCACCATGAGGTTTCAGTAAAACTAACATGGGTCACATCTCTTTTATTATAACTCATCCCATATTCCCTTTAAAGATAGTCGACAATACTCTACGCTCCAATACAAATACCATAGTCAGAGGTTTCGCTGGTGGAGGTAGTTCCAAGTCCGTTTGAAGGAAATACACAAGGTAGATGCTTGGTGCAAATGTGATATCTCCTGATTTCTCCAAGGGTGTGCGAGGGGAAACAATGGTTAACATTACCTTTTTCAAGAGGGACGCCATCAGATTCAGTCCTCACGATAATTATTATCTCATCATCATGGTGCAACACAACAACTAGGATATCAAGCGAGTTTTGATAAATCCTTGAAGCTCAACTGACTTCCTGTTTTGGGACACTTTCTAGAAACTGGAACTCAATCCCAACGACGTTAAAATGTTAAATGGCTTGTTAATAGGATTTTCAGGCGGATATGTACAAGTAAGAAGCCATGTGACCTTAGAGACAACGTGTGGCAAAAACATAAATGCTAAGACGACTGACGTCATCTACCTTATTGTGGACACCTTGTCACTCTATAATAATATTCTAGGTTGACCTGGCCTCAATGCACTTGGGAAGATTATTTCCATCCAGTACTTAATTATGAAATACTTGTCTTGATGGCGAGTCAGTACCATTCAAGGAGACCAACACATCGCTCAAGAATGCTACCATAATAGCCTAGCAATAGAAAGGGAAGAGCTCTCTATTGTGGAAGCCTTCTTCTGAAGTTCCAAATAAATACCTTGATTGATGGGATCCCAAGTTAGGGGTAGATGTTGAAAGGCTCACGCTCACGAAGGACTTGAAGGAGGTTAAAATAGGCCCTTTTGCCCATCTGGTAACAAAGATATGGACTTTTGCTTACTGAGGAGGAAGAACACGTGCTAATGTGTGTGTATATATATATGAACTCATTAATGTCGACTCGTTCACACGAGCCCCCTTTGATATGTATGGGATATACAATAAGGTGATGAGCCATCGCCTCTCCATCCACCTCTCTTCCAAACTAGTGGGGCAAAGGTAGTGGAAAGTTGGCGAGGAGAAGAGGGCCACCATTGATGAGGAAGCAGGCTAGCTATCTGATGCCAGGTTTATCATAGAAACAAAATACTCTATCTGGCTAGCCATCATGGTTTTGGTGAGGAAAGTGAACAACATATAGCACATATGTGTGAACTTCACTGACCTGAACGCTGTCTATCCTAAGTACCCATATCCACTACTGGACATTGATCACCTTATTGATGGATCCTCAGGCTACCACATGTTGAGCTTCATGGATGCATACTCAAAGCATAACCAAATTCAAATGGATCTCCTAGAAGCCACCCAAAGCATCCTTTATGTTGAATCACAACAACTACTACTACTATAATATCACGCCTTTCGACTTCCATAACACTGACGCCACCTACCAATGACTTATGGACATCGTGTTCTTCTGTCAGATAGGGAAAAACCTTGAGGTCTATGTTAGAGACATGATAGTGAAAACTATTGAGGTGTACATCCATGCTGAAGATTTAGAGGATTTCATGCAGTCAGTCAGGAAATAAGATATACACTTGAATCCCGCCAAGTGCTCTTTCAGAGTTCAGGATGGAAAATTCCTAGAGTTCGTGCTAACGAAGAGATGCATTTAGGCCAATTCGGATAAATGTAGGGTAATCATCTCCATGAGAATCCCCACAAACGTCAAGGAACTGTAGCATCTTATAGGTCGGCTTGTCGCCCTATCTCGCTACCTCTCGTGTGCAGGCAGCAAAACCCTCCTTTTCTTTTCCGCTCTAAAGAAGAAAGAGAGATTCAAATGGACCACCGAATGAATGAAGGCTTTCACAAAGGTAAAGTATTTCCTAGATTTGCCTCTCATCCTCACTCTCTTTAGAGACGAGTCGCCACTACTCTTCTATATCTCAGTGACATATCAAGTGATTAGATTGGTTGTCATCTAGGACATTTACAAGGTATAAAGGATTGTGTATTTCGTAAGAAAGTTGTTAAAGATGCCAAAACACGTTATCATAAGACTAAGAAGATATCGCTAGTTGTTTTCATCGTGGAGATGAAGTTGAGACCTTACTTTCAGGGTCAAAAGATCTTTGTCAAAATAAACTATCATGTTCAGAAGGTCTTGAAGAAGCCAGATTTGGTAGGAAGGATAATATCCTAGGCAGTGGAACTCTCATAATATGATATCCAATATATCCAATATATCCCCAAGTAGGCGTTATCAATAGGATATTCTTCGAACTTTAAAGGGTCCGATGTTTGGAAGGACCCGACGACATACTTATCGAACATGCATTGAAGTTCAAATTCACCACCATCAACAATCATGTTGATTATGAGGCCCACATTGTTGGCATGATTCTTTCCTTAGAGATGAGATCTTCCACACTGAAATCCAAAAGAGACTCTTAATTAGTCACCAACAAAGTCTCCAATAAGTACTAGACAAAAGAGCCCCAAATGATAAAATATCTATAAAAGATACAAAGTTTATCCTCTTATTTTACTTCC